AAGAGCGTCAGAGAGGGGAAGTGGGCTAACCGACCGTTTCAGTTTCAGTTCCCTCGCTTCTTGTCTGAACCCTGCCCTCTTTCTCGGACACATCCCTTTTTTTGTCTTGTTTCGTTAAAAAAAAAAGACTATTCAAATCTGCGATAAGGCGAACCATTCCTATTGACTATATTATCTATTTTTCGTCTTTTAGTTTTCTTGTATCTCCCCTTTTTTTCCGTATTAAACTCATACAAATATCAATCTTTTCATATATAGATACACTATATGTTTTGACAAAAAAATGTAACAATTTTTGTTATTCTATCCTCATCCATTGCGGTCCACTTATAAGAATTGCACTCAAGATTCCGAAAAAAATATTCGCTAAGACAATATTTAATATATACTGTTGCTTGCTGTTATTTTTTTTATGTGATGACAAGATAGAAACACAACCATTATATAAAAAAAACAAGATAGAAATGAATTCAAGTTTTACGGTCGTTGGTTGGAGAGTAAATGTGCAATTTAATTACGGTACAGAAATTATCTCTGGACTATGAGAGATGTAGTCGGCCCGAAAACCCGATAATTTTGGTAGTTAGAATTTTTTTTTTCAGGGATTTCGCATCGAACCTTATTTTTTTCCACTCATTGGTTGTCATAATTCAAAAGAAAATATGAGAAAGTAAATCACGCGGCGGAGTATGGGCCGCCTCTTCTCTTCACCATTCCCGATAGAATCTGTCCATTAAAAGATTCCCTTGAAACTTACTTCTCCAATAAAAGATTCTCTCTAAATCTATTTTTTTTATTGCTTTATTGACAAATCCATCGGGATATTTTCTGTATGAAAATATAAATCCTTTTAAATATTATTTTGTCGAGTAAACGATAAAAACATTAATACATATGCAAAAGAACGAAACTATGTATTCTTAGAATATTTAAACTTCGTGAGCGGTCCGATAATATATCCACTTCTCTTCAATAACACCCAATATGTCTATTAACGTGTTTGTTGTTGAATTATAACTTTATCAAGCTCTCAATAAATTTCGTTTATGGTTATTATAATTCATCCTTTTTTTCGGATAAATTATTTAATCCATTTTAATGTTATCTTTAGCTTTAATGATGTCACAATGTTGAAAGGTTAGGAGCAATGTCCGCTCGGGCACCCAGAGGTTTTCACACATATCCAGACATCATACGTCTCCAAAGAAACGTCCTCGTGCATGTGATGTAATTAATTCAATCATTAATACGCCGGCACCCCGCATATATACGCGTATATATATATGTTTAACAAATTAAAATCGTATACGTATCCAGTAAATCAACGTATTATACGTGAGGTAAAACTATTCATTGAAGGCTGCTGAAGTGACGTCATATTTGCTTTTAGTTAGTCGCATTCTCGATGTGTGGTGCTTTTCCATGTGCCAGGGAACCGCAACTTCTGGAACTCAACTGCTTCTGTCTTTTTCCTTTTTCCTTTTTTTTTTTTGCTTTTTTCCGAAAAAAGTTGTTATGAGAGTTTCGAGAAAGCATAAAATATATCCTCCTGTAAGTTGATAACATATCAAGACTGTATAATAAAGGTTCGTACGTAGCGTTTTTCTGTAAATGTTTTAATTTTCTCTTGCCAAAGAAGAATAAGCTAACGATTTACTTAATTATTAACCACCGATTTTGTTTTTTTATAATCAAATAGTCTAAACCAAAACTCAAACTAATTCCGAAATCAAAGATCAACCATATAATTTATATTATACATTCTTTTCCTAAATTTATTATTCGAAACGTTGTGAACTCACGTTTTATCGGTTGAATTATATATAAAACTCAAATTGGATTTGATCGGTCCTCTTGGTTTAATCTTCTTAGATTACTGATCTTTTGATTTGTGATTTATGCGCTCCATCGATACAAACTCAGCTAAAAAAAATGTTGTGACATTGAATTTCATAGAGCTGTTGATATTTTGACATTTCTAATAGTTGATATTGGAGTGATTTATCTGTAAGAAAAACTGGTAATCAACAGACGAATTGTTTGACTCCATAAACCTTTGAATCTCGATGCCATGAAATCTGATATGTCAAGGCAGAGAGAGAGAGAGAGAGAGAGAGAGAGAGAGAGATGCAGTTTTGGGGAAAGAAGGCTTGCATTCCCTAGGCTTCAGAGCTGCTCCGAAGGACAATAAAAGCATCGTGAATTTTGTAATATGTTACTCCCTCCCTTTTAAAATCTCTCTTTTTTAAATATTTGTTGTTTTAAATTATTTCACATTTTTTTTAAAAATAGATCATATATAGATGATAAAAAGGCATTATATCAAAAATACCCTTAAAATGCTACTTCTACTTCAACACCTACCCTTGTGACCATGTGATCAATGTGACCGAAATATAGTGTAGTCACATATTGATCTCATTGTTCATAACGTTAAATTTATGATATTTTAATCAAATGATTAGTAAGATATACAAGGTATAAACATAATGAATTAGTGTGATCACCATAAATTTAACGTTATAATCGATAAAAATCAAAATGTGACCATACTATATTTCGGTCACATTGGTCACATGTGACCAGGGTAGGTCTTGAAGTAGAAATAGCATTTTAAGGGTATTTTTGATAATGCCCCTGATAAAAACAATACAATTATTAATAATACATTGAAATTTGGTAGATATAAAATTAAAAATTATTATAAAAAAATGTTTTGAAAATATAAAACTACAAATATTTTGATCTACAACTATTTTGAAATAGAGGTAGTATTTTTTAATATAATAAACTAATTCTGTGGTTGATATTAATACACGATCTTCCGAACAAAAAATAAAATAAAATAAAATGTCGTCGTGTTACTTTCCATGAATCATTTACGAAACCAATTCAATGAGATGAAAATTCATTATCTTGTTGTATAAATATTTGGGGTGATAAGGCCAATCTGCAAATATACTGTCTACTTGACCATATAACATATCCTAATGGAAACAATCCTTCTATAGTTTTGGTATGATTATCCAAACTGTAATTATAAAAGTTTCACACATTGTATAAACTTTTATATAAAGACTATAACTCGAATATCGTTACACGAACAGAAGGCCGTTATATATGGTTTAACCGTATATGGCAATGATTAAATTATATACATGTAATGTTTTCAATTAGAAGACGTCATCAATATACCAGATTTCCCAATGTAAATAAATATACGCGCCATATTATTATTACACTGTGGCAGATCAAATTTTTATTTCATTTCATTGGAGATATGGACCAACTTGATTGCCCATTCTCTTTCTTCCCTCTAATATGGATACCAACTTGCGAATATTAAAATACCAAAATCCCACTATAAATACCCATAACACATTCCCAACCCTCAAAACATTCAAAACATATCATCAAATATATCCCAAAAGAAAAAAAAATGGCCTCATCACGATTTTTATCATTAGTGCTCTTATCCATTGTCGCGTCCTTAGCCTCCGGTGAGTCCACGACGTCATTCCCCGACGACCATCTCCGCCTCCCATCGGACGGCCACCGGAGAACCGAGGAGGAGGTGCGGTCCATGTACATACTATGGTCCGCGAAGCACGGGAAAACTTACAACGGCATCGACGAGCAAGAGAGAAGGTTCAACATCTTCAAAGACAACCTCGGATTCATCGACGAACACAACCACAACAAGAACACGAACGCAACGTACAAGCTCGGTCTGACCAAGTTCGCCGATTTGACCAACGAGGAGTACCGGAGCTTGTACCTAGGGATGAAGAGCGAGTCGGCCCGTCGAGTCGCCAAGGCCAAGAACGTCAGCCGGAGATACGCCGCCGTGAACGGAGAGATGTTGCCGGAGACGGTGGATTGGAGACAGAGAGGGGCCGTTAGTCCTGTCAAAGACCAAGGAACTTGCGGTAAAGTGTTCTAAACGGACATTATTATTCATCTACAATCTTAACTATTCAGCAACAGAGAAGAGACTTAAAAGGGTTCATGTCTGAACGATACAGGAAGTTGTTGGGCATTCTCGACGATTGCAGCAGTAGAAGGGATCAACCAGATAGTGACAGGCGAGCTCATAACACTGTCCGAGCAAGAACTTGTGGATTGCGACAAATCGTACAACCAAGGTTGTAACGGCGGGCTCATGGACTACGCGTTTCGGTTCATCGTCAAGAACGGTGGGTTAGACACCGAGCAAGACTATCCTTACCGTGGCGCCAATGGAATCTGTGATCGTTCTCGGGTATCACTCTCAGTTTCTTTCTGAATATGTCGGAAAAACTCTTTGATGGATACTTAATATACCCTTTTTTTTTTGTAATGGGTTTCGCAGAAGAATGCAAAGATTGTGAGCATCGACGGGTACGAGGATGTTCCACCGTATGACGAGATGGCACTGAAAAAGGCCGTGGCTCATCAGCCCGTCAGTGTAGCCATTGAAGCCGGTGGCAGATTTTTCCAGCACTACCTTTCGGTAAGCTTCCACCACGTTCACTTTGACGTAGCAAACAAACCGGTTGAACCGGTTTAACAGTTAACCGGTTTTGTGCCTGCGATGTGTTGGGACAGGGAGTGTTCACGGGAGAATGCGGTACAAAGGTGGACCATGGCGTGGTGGCGGTGGGGTACGGCACGGAGGACGGTCAGGACTACTGGCTCGTCCGGAACTCGTGGGGTCCACAGTGGGGCGAGAACGGCTACATCAAAATGGAGAGGAACTTGGCCCGGTCGAAATCTGGTAAGTGCGGGATCGCAATTGAATCTTCGTACCCGGTTAAGTTCAGCCCGAACCCGGTTCGTGATTCCAAGACTAAGATCATCAGCAGCGCTTGAGCAGAAAACTAGCCAGCCATTTGCAATTCGATTAAAATTTATAATCATATGATTGTTGTATGTATAATCAAAGCAAAACACGTACTCGTTGGAAAAGATAGCTTCGCGATAGACTATGAAGTCTGGCTGTAAGCGAAGCATTTATCACTCTGTATTGAACTCAATTTCGTTATATCATTAATCATTTATAGTATGATATGGTCGTCGATACACTGAAACCATTTTATTCATTGTCAAAATGTGAATACAACAATACATTGTTCAGGCAGAACCAGTAAATATCCAGAATTAACAAGCGAAACCCTGAAAATCCACCTGGCTCAAACTACCGAATTCCTCTTGGATCGATTTTTCGTTTCCTAAATAAGCTGACGGGGGGCAAAATCAGCGTGCGGTAAGTAGGTTCGGATCATCAACCACTGACCTGAACGAATGCTTCCTCGGGTGGGTCAGTCTGTGCTCTCGGTTGAAGGTGCCTTCTTGCCGTATCGCTGTCGAAAAGAAACCGGTAAATGGAGTTAGAATCTGTCATTCGACCGATTCAGACATGCTAACTTAGGTTTGGGAAGAATATGGATAGTACCTGTTTCCCGAAAGAGAAAGGCACGTATCTGTATCTGATCATATGTTGTATCTGTTTCCGCATCGTGGCGATAAAGAGCATCACCCAGTAGAAAAGAAGTACTGGCCAGAAAACAGGCACATCAAAGACGTCGAAGAACGTCATCACAAACCCGATGAGAAAAGCCCGAGTGATAGACCACCTTGCAGAAGAAGAAAAAACACCAGAAAGACGAAAACTTTCAGACAAAAATCAAAACAGGGAAGGCCACAAGATTCGAACGACATCGAATACACATCAAGAAACGACATTTGCCAACATGAATGGTCATTCATTACATGGTCGCTTGACTCAACAAGAATAGACATGGAAAACCAAAAGAATTATGGGTCGTCAGCTTCCATTTGAACCAAATCTGAAGCTTATTGATCATTGTACTGACATCTATTCCAGAGAGGAAATCCAATGTATTCACATATTGAGAATCCAAATGCAATTCAGGAACATTCATATCTAAATAAATTAGCAAACTTGATTATCAACTCTGAACTTTCACATAAACAACCTATAATGCAATACCCAAATTTCACCATTGGCCTCACAGATCGGAACCCTAGACGAATTCAAATAACGCAATACGATCCATTGTGGAAAATTCCAGGAAGTGAGTACCCAATGAAGCGGAAACAATTCGAAAGAAAGAAGAGAGACTCAAAGGGAAAGGGACGAACCAGAACTTAAACTCCGGGAGACGGCGGACGAAGGGACGGAACTCATCGGATCCGCGAGTGGGAAGAGACGGGCCATCGAGCGACGTCTCGGGATCTTCCTGAGGCGAGAGGAAAGCGATGATGAGGTTGAGAAGGTAGATGCCGATGGCGTAGGTGATGATGTAGAACCCTTCGACGAAGTAGACGCGGAGGGCGTAGATGAAGACAATCACGAGGCACGCGATCCAACGGTAGAGAATGTGAGGGACCGTCTTGTCGAGAAGATACTGGTACCGCTGCAACACGGCGTGATTCAGCCGGGAAACGGCCTCCGCCGGGGACGACGATTCGGTCGATTGCCGATCGTCGGCGGCACCGCCCGTGGATCCGGATTCCATTGAGATACAACCTTCGTTCTCTCTCTCTCTCCCGTTATCGGTATGTCTATGTCTCCGAGGTTTGGTCTCTCTCTCTCTGCGCTCCTGAAACTGCGGCGGAGGAGACGGAGAGGATAGGTCGTGCTTTGAGTTTTTTGGGGGCCAAAGAATTAGAAGTTTCCTTACATGCAATAGATCCGGTTTGGTTCGATAGCTGTGATAGATCCGGTTTACGAGAAAATTCCCGGTTTCACGAACCGGTTAAAATTACCCGAAACAGACTTCGGGTTGGCTCCGGACTTTGCTTAACTTTCATTAAATTGTTACCTAGTGAAATAAATTTACTACACTGACAAGAACCATACGAAGTAACATACATCCTAAATGTAAAAAGCAAAGATAAAACAACATTTGGTCCGTCCCTAATAACTAAAAATATGATTATAGTAAACAAACACTTCAGTGACACCCACAAAAAACAAATAAGTGTAAACTTTCAAACTTCAAGACACCAAACCAAACCAAGAAGACAACAATACACAGGTTTAAAAAAAAACAGAAAAAAAAAGGAGAGGAGGGGTTCTGGTTCATGTATATACTTCTGATTCAGCTAGAGGGTTCGAATTAGTAAAAAAAAAATAAGAAAAAAACTATCATTTTAAAGGGTTTAGTGTCCATAATGGAAGGATGGAGATTTGGCAGAAGAAGGGAACTTGTCAAGAACCGACAAAGCCTCTTTCATGTTCGGTCTCTTCTGAGGAAGAGGAGATGCACAACTATAACCCATTCTCAAACAGCCAATCAGAAACTCCTCTTTCCCCTCCAACTCACCCCTTATCGCCACGTCAGCCATCCTCAATGCCCTCTTCCCGTCCTCCACCGTCAGCCCTATCTCGTCCACGGCCACAATTTTCCCCGTCACCAGCTCCAGCAGTATCACTCCGAACGCGAACACGTCCCATTTCGGGCTCGGCTTCAGGCTCCTGAGTGCCTCCGGGGCGCAATACGGTGATATGGGCCCCACCGAACTTGGGCTTGGGCTCGGTGTCGGCCCAGAAGACGCGACCTCTCGTGAAGACATCGTGGATCGCTTGCTGCTGAATATCCGAGACGACCCACCTGCTCGGCTATAGCTGGTTTCGCCCGTTAGAAGCCTTTCAAGCCCAAAATCCCCAATTTTGGGCTCCATATCTAGGCCCAAGAGCACGTTACTGAGCTTAAGATTTCCATGCACGTGCTTCTTCTCGTGGAGGTAAGTCAGCCCACGTGCCACACCTTTTGCTATCTTGAGCCGTGTCTCCCACGGTAGATAACACGGCGATGACCCTCCTTTTCCTGTCCGTAGAAAACAACAAACAAAAGCGCAAGTTAGCATCTGTTGATAACGTTTCCCTAACCTGCGCCGTGAACCCCGAATTGACCCTGCAAATTTGACTTTGTCGTTGGAGCAGTTAACCTACCCAACTCTCCCTACGAGCAATTTTACTAACCTACGCCAGAACCATTACATTGACAGAGAGACTCACTGTAGCGAGCGTTGGCGAGGCTGCCGTTGGGGACAAAATCGTAAATGACCAACTTTTCGTCGGTGCCCCAATAGAAGCCACGTAGACCGACCAAGTTGGGGTGAACCAGCTTGCCAATGGCTCGGACATGTGCTTCGAAGTCCTTGAACCGCCGCTGAGCCACCCTGTTCTCCCCGAGCCGGCACCGCCAGTGCGGTACCGTCCTCGAGCACGGCTTTGTACATTATACTCGAGCCAGTGGCTCCAAGAATATAAGCCGAGGCCTTGAGCAATGTCCCTATCTCAAGCTCCTTCTCTCCATCAACGGTCACCAATGTCCCTCTCTTGTTTTCCCAGTTCTTTCCCCGCCGTTGATTTGCTTGACCGTACTGTTCTTCGTCTTCTTCCTCCTCCTCCTCCTCGGACGGTGTCGCTTCCGGGTCTTTTTTCAGACACGACCATGTCCCAAATCTTCTTGATTCTTCAGGAGATGAGGATGATGATGATGGCAACGAAATGTTGTCCTTTGCTTCTTTCCTCAAAGCGTCGTCCACGCTCTTCTTCTTCTTGTATCTGTAGATGTAGAAGAAAACCACGACTAGGATCCCGATCCCGGCGATATCTCCGACAATGATTCCGATTATAACCGCCGGTCTTAACCCTGTTCCGGGATTTCTGTCGGTTTCTGCCGTTTCGTTGGGATCAGTTGCAGAGTTCGAGCCGATCGTCTTCGGTATGGCGGGGGTGTGAGTCGGAAGCGTTGAACGGCGAGGACGGTATCGGACACGGGTTTCGAGTCGGATACCCGCAAATACCGGAGTTTCCGGCGAAAGGGTTGGATTTCTGATTGAGGAAGACCGGAGAATCAGGGACTGGACCCGTGAGATTATTGAAGGATAGGTCGACGGTGGCGTTGGCGGCTATGTTGGCACTGAACGCCGGAGGAACTTGGCCGGAGATCTGGTTGTACGACACGTTCAGGTACCGGAGACTGTCCCCGCCGAAATCGGGTGGTAATGATCCATTGATGAGGTTCGAGGACAGGTCCAAGAATTGAACGGCTCTCCAGCCGCCGGGAATCTCGCCGGAGAAGTAGTTGTTGTTGAGGGAAACGGTGGTCAGGTTTGTCAGAGTCGCCAAATTGGCGGGTAACTTTCCCGCCAAGGCATTGTCGGAGAGATTGAGCGTCTGAAGATCGTGAACATCGCCGATTGTCTCCGGGACATGGCCGGAGATCATGTTACTGGAGAGATCCAGAAACTGAAGCTGTCTTGCCGTGAAAATGGATTCCGGCAACGACCCATTGAGCGAATTGTTGGAAAGGTCGAGACTTTGAAGAAATTCGACGGAACCCAGATCGGAAGGGATGGAACCGAGGAGCTGAGAATTGGGAAGAGACAAGGTCACAACTCTGGATTCGTTATTACAGGACACGCCCCGCCATGAACAAGGAGTTTCAAGCTCGTAGTTCCATGTCTGCAAAACGGAAAGCGGATCAACAAGAACAGAGTACTTGAAGCTCATCAATAGGACGCCATCGGAGTTTAAAGCAGAGCTCTTTAGGAGAGAGAAGAGCAAGAAGATTGCTGAAACTAGCTCGACTTTCATGGCTTCCTAGGAAGAAACCTCATCGCTAGATCCAGTAAGAATCTCAGAGAGAGAGAGAGAGAGACTCCACGTGAAGAGATGGTATATGAGAGTAAACGCAGAAACAGCTCACGCAACCAAACCTCCCTTCTCCTCCCTAAATGCTGTCTCTGCCATTTATGCAGAGTTTATAAATACTATAATCAATTACAACACTCTCTACTATTTTATTTAAAAATAACAAAAATAAAAATAAAAATAAATCATTCCACATATATTTATTAAACTGAATAATCATTTGGCATCTGAGCAGGTAACTAGAAAAAAACATCTATCTGCAGTTACAGTTTGCTGAGATTATGGCTTCACTCTGATGATTGACTTTACAGAGTGCCCTCTATTTCTTTTTTTTTTAATTAATTAATTTATATAAATGTTTTCAATTATTGATCCAATAACCTAAATAATCGATTTGATGGTTCAAATGTCTCTGCTGTTTTATGTGCCTTTTGCTGGTTAATCTCCTTCACAACTGGCTCGCATGTGCTCCTTTTTTATTTTTTATTTTTTTTTGGTTGAATGTTAATATTTTTATTTTTATTTTCTTCATTATAAAATTCTATTATTTCAGATTCGGTCGATTATTCCTATTGGTTACCTACTCTCAGTCATTTTGGAAGAATGAGATATTATACATTTTTAATCCGAAAACGGATGATTAACTACGGTCTTTTCTTTTAAATAATTGCCCCCCTTGGGGATTATATACTAAATTAAGATATGTATGTGCTTATTTAATTACAAAACAAAAATTAGTCAATAACCACTCACAAACAACATTCTTGGTACGTTAATATATATATATATATATATATATATATATATATATATATTATATGCTGGATTTATGGGTGCACACATGACGATGCATGATATCATTAAGTTTGTAACGCATTCCATTTTTAAAAGATTTTACTTTTTTTTTTTTGTAAAAGTGGGATGCGTTAGTGTTAGCTTTACCCACTTCTTTATAAAATAGAATCGAATTTCATATATAATTCAAAAAGTATCGCACTTTAATTATAATGAGTCCAACAGTAAAAGCCGTAAACCCAGCTTCGTTAGTTTTGTCGTGGGCCCTTTTAATTAGTTTAATGTTTTTGGTTATCAATTTAAATCTGGTATTAGGCCTAAAAAAACAACAAAGGATTACAGACTAAGATTAAAATGAAAATTTAGGTGTGAAAATGTAAAAATATAATAATTAATGGCATGAAGAGTGTATATATACAATGAACAGAAGATATTCATGGTTATTTTAAAACTATATATTTTTAAATCATTGAAAAAAATATTGAAGAATAGAGGATTAAGGAAAGTCTAAAATATTGGTTAATTGACTTTGAGTATTCAAATTTCAAAAATTACCTACCAGAACCAAAAAACAACTGTTACTATACTAACTTCTTGTTTTGTAAATTAGTATATATTAATAAATCGAAATAATCATATAGAAAAAAAAAGGGAAAAGAAACAAATAAAATAAATTTGAGGTCAAATCAATTGATTCATTCATAGATAAAGAAGCAAAAAGTGTGTAAACCAAAAAAAATAAATAAAAGGAGGGGGAACAAATCATGCTTTAGCAATTCCATCGATGGTACATAACTCCAATTTATTGATATGAACCGAATAATTTCATTTCATCACAAGAAATTCCCCTCGTGCCTATACACACAAACCGACATAGATACACATATATATACACACACACATATAAGTGTATACGTATATATTATACAAAAGAAATGTGGTTGACTTTAGGCCTGCATACTAGGCTTTAGAGCACCATTTTTGAAGTAACAAGCAACTTGTTTGCCCAATACACGGATCTTGTTTCGTTTATCGTATTTTCCATGCAAATTTTAATGCATCTATTTACTATCCCAATTTATAAAAAAATATTTACCAATATTATTCGCAAACTTAATGCTGCTATTTTATTATAGTAGCTAATAAAATATTAATGGCGAAACACTAATATTGCTTTATAACTCGTCAAACATAACACGTGCATGGAAATGGCCAGTCTTCGGTTTTTGGAATTAATCCCGTGATTATAAAGTTACTTAGTCGGTTATAATTATTGTCCTATGTATCAACGTTTTCGTTATCATTAAATAATGTTGTTTGATACATAGGACAATAATTATAATTATTGTCCTATTTTTTTTTTTACTGACAAGGTGAAAATCCGTGTCGATGTATTTTCATATGTATACGCAACTTATAAATTATTTACAAATTAAGATATATAAACGTAATTTTACGTTTAAGCATCGGTCATAAAAAGTTACTGCGCCTTAGTGAGAATAGAAAATTCACCCACATGCCACATAGCCAACCATATCTCAAAACACAAGAAATATCTTGGAAATTACGATATTTGTCTGTATACATATTACAAACATTTAACCACTTAATTTGAATCAAACGGTGATTAGAATATGATCCACTAATTTTTTTTTTTGTTAACATGTATTTTTGACAACGTCTCTTATATATAGAGGTGATTGATGAGTATGTTGCAGTTCGGACTTAGTAGTAGAGAAAAATTGAAATTATCTTAAAATATCATATTTTTCTATATAGTTATTAAGAATTAACAAGAAATACAACATATTGAGATATTTATTTACACATCTATCAAAATTTTGCTTATAATATCTACGGTTAAACATTTTAAGGATTAAACATATATGTTTGCCACTAATATTAATATAAATATGTATGTATACCGAAATCGATTGGGCTGACGCGTGCAAGAATTAGTGGATACGAATATTGAAATTGGGCCAAATTAAGCAATAGAAAATATGGCTATCAAAAGTCGTATTAAGCCCATTAGAAAATAGGCCAGAAATCATACACTATTCACCATGAACGATTTTTGTGGAGCGGATAAAGTTGCAGATTTGATTATTACTTGTAATCATTGTTTATATATAGTCGAGTTTGTTTTATTATTTGATTTTTTAGTCTAATCATGACAACCCTTGGAGCATATATGAAGGTGTTAAAAATCACTAATCACTAATGAAATATTATATGATAGTTTTTCAGAAAAATCGCATAATTTTTTTACGTATTAATATATAATTATCATATCATAGAATAACTATCAATCACATCAACTTCAAAGACTGATCATGTTAAGATTTTTAGATTGACAACTCTTAATAAAACCATGCATTCACTTAGAACCTCACGTTTTTGAATATTAAATTCGTCTAATTACTTAAATTCTCTACATAATATGAGATCATTTCATGAATATAAATTACCGACTTTTATTAAAATGGGGAAAAAACGCATTCTAATCAATAGTACGTACAAATACTCTCTCTTTTTTTTACATATACTCTTGATCGCATACTCGGATACATACACATACATACATCCAAAAAAATATTTATAAAGGAGACCATAATAATGTATCTATAATTTCGTAGGGATAAACTTAAATTTTTTTTATCAATTTTATTCGAAATTGTATAAATTTTATTAAAAAAAATGTAATTTTTTAATTAAATAAATGGAGGCACATGCCACTAGTCCACATGCATACGTGTGTACGCAATGCAAGGCTGATTAATGAGAAATTAAATTTTATTATAAAACATTTACTTTAGATTTTAGAACACCAAGTGTTATCATAATGTAGGTATCAGTGGAATAAAGCGCATGTTAACTAATTTCAGTGGGCCGTTAATTATGTCATTTAGATTAATCATGGTGTATTATCAGATCTAGCATATCAATGATTGAAATTTTTAAAAGCCTGTATAATGTTTATACACACACATACACACGCACGCTTACGTGGAATATTATTTGAAAACTAGTATACAAAATTAATTGTAAATTAATCTCTACTATTTTCCACATAAGATGTCAAAGTCTAATCCTGATAAACAGTTATAGACGAAATGATGCATAAGTGCACCTTAATTATGGATGTTAATGTAGTATAATAATTGCGATCCAGTAGCAAAGCATCACTAACTCTTTGGATTATCGAATCAACGAGAGAGAGAGAGAGAGAGAGAGAGAGAGAGAGAGAGAGATAGAGAGAGAGAGAGAGAGAGAGGTACTTAGACTCGAAGCATAGATTGGGAAAAAGGTCAAAAAAGGAAAAGCAAATAAAGAAGAAAAAAGTACAAAGTATGCATACGGCGTACGATAGTAAGAATCACGGGGACTTCAAGTCCGTGTGTGTGTGTATATATATAGATATGATAATCATGATAATTAATTAATATATCAAAACAAGACTAAGTTTTACTGAACAATTACATATTTTCGTCGCTATTTTGTGTGGTTATTGTATGGAAGAAGAATGGCAATCAGGCATTTTTGTAATTGATTTTCTTAGTATTATTAGTGGCATATGTATATTTCATTATTTGCTTATCAAAACTAATGGGTTCTAATTAACGAAAAAGATAAGTGCTTATAATTAAATGTAATTAATTATGAAATAGTGCGTTGAAAAAATTTGATAGAGGGCTTGAGATATACCAGTACCGCAGCCGTGGAACTACCTGAACACGACACGTGGTAGATATGTGGCAATGTGTTGCACGTGCTATATCTGAGACGAGCAATAATTCAACAGAAATACTACTTTGAAAAAGCGGCCGGTGGACACTTTTTTTTACTATTCATCTTTTTTTAAAATAATACGATATTTTGGATAGAGATTCATATTAATATCGAAGATAAAAATAAATTATACGCTCTTATCTCTAATTTAAGATTCGAATTCACTACGAGATACACGTTTTGCATCTCTATTTTACAAATTGAACTAATCAAGTTGATTTTGACTATTTATCTTCGTTTCTGTGTATCATAATTTTTATTTTTCTGAGGTTAAATTGGATATTTTTTATTTTGAAAATTAAGTTTCAATTGTATCATAGACAGGAACACATTTGGTTATTGTCCTTTGATGTTAATCGCATTGAAAGTAAGACGTATTTTTTTTTTATGATGGATACATACTTTTTTTTTTGATACATTGGGGAACTCCGTGACTACCTACCCTTACAAACGGAGACGAACTGGCCACCACCTGCGCCTAACAGTCCCCATGGACCTCAGTCCGCCGGACCTGGCCATCAGG